CGCAGCAGAGGGGGTCCGTACAGCTTTTACAGAGTCCAGACTTTGCAGCGCAGCAGAGGGTGTCCGTACAGCTTTTACAGAGTCCAGACTTTGCAGCGCAGCAGAGGGTGTCCGTACAGCTTTTACAGAGTCGCGACTCTGCAGCGTAGCAGAGGGTGTCCGTACAGCTTTTACAGAGTCCCGATTCTGCGGCGCAGCAGAGGGTGTCCGTACAGCTTTTACAGAGTCGCGACTCTGCAGCGCAGCAGAGGGTGTCCGTACAGCTTTTACAGAGTCCCAATTCCGCAGCGCAGCAGAGGGTGTCCGTACAGTTTTTACCGAGTCCCGACTCTGCAGTGCAGCAGAGGGTGTCCGTACAGTTTTTGAAGACTGGGGAACGCTAATGATGCTTTTTGATGTTTCCTCCCTGGGGAAGCATTTCTGCTCCAAAATCGGGGCCTGATGTGAAAACCACCTCTAATGGGGCAGGGATTGACTGTGCTGCCCCCCGGGGCACAAATGGCTGATCAATCCACTCTGCCCCCATTTTCACTCCATGTCGCAGCCAAATAAGTGAGATATCACAAGTACTCAGGTTTTCAACCTTCTTCTAAAAATAATGACGATAAAGCATGTGAGGCACCGTTGTGCATTTGATTATTGTGTCACACGACCCTCCATCTCGCCGAAGACAGCAGCTCCCTCACCTGCTTGTCCTGGCAGCTGGACCTTCTGCATTCTTACCTGCACTGCACACAATTTTACTTTTTAAGTAAAGTACTGGGACTTTGCTATTTTGAACTTCCTCTGCTGGCCCCTGGAGGATGGGCTCCCCCTTTGAGTCTGGTGCCTCCTGAGGTTCCTTCTTCTAGGGAATTTTTCTTTGCCACAGTTGCCTTTGGCTTGCTCACTGGGGGCTTTGGGCAGGGATAATGTAAAGCGCTTGGAAACAATGTAATATTGTGAAAATGTGCTATATAAAAAAGTCTGAATTAGGTTGCATTGAATTGAATTGAATTTAATTGAATTATATATGACAATTTGTTTACAAGTGGTGCAATATTCCCAGTTACACCAGTTTCTTCCCACAGTCCAAAAACTTGGGATCAGGTGAACTGGTGCCCCTAAATTTCCCGTAGTCTCTCTCTCTCTCTCTCTCTCTCTCTCCCTGTGTGTGTGTGTGTGTGTGTGTGTGTGTGTGTATGTGTGTATGTGTGTGTGAACATGTGTCCTGAAATGGAACAGCATGCAGCCTACCATATACCCTTCTGTTTGGACAAACTCCAGGTGCCACAAACCGCTACAGAATAGGTTGTTACAGAAAGTGTATGGATGCACAGAGGACAACCTTGTACTGCAAACACTTTCTCTCTTGCTATTCCAGCTCAGGATTGTAATACCCCTCTGTTCCTAACCCTAACCCTAACCCTAAGCTTGCTCCTTTACTGCGATACTAAAGCCTTTCATAGTAACCTGCTATACAAATCTTTGCCCATGATCATATTCAAAAATTTGTTTTCGATTTTAAGTTAATTGTGACTGATTGCTCTCTAACACGACTGTGGTCACCCCATCTACTGTATCTCATGCGTTTTATTGTCTTTCCCAGCTTTCAAACCTACTTGTTGCCACACAGGAAACAAATCACATTTTACATATTCTGTGAAAACAGGGGTCCCTCATTTTTAAACGAAATATACATTTCTGGGTTATAAGCAGGCCTTTCAGGTGAAATGAGTTTAGCATCAGTGTTTAGACCTTCTTCCACCACTTTTGTTGTTTGGATGAAAAAAAAAGATGGACAGCCTGTTAAGCAAAAAATACGTGCATTTAGCTGGCTTCGTCAGAAAAGCGTGACGCTAAGCTTCTGTACCAAGGCCAGGCATTTAGAGCAGGGGAGGGCGGAGCGGATCAGGCCAAAGGCAAGTGCGGCTCTTGCGTAAACGGCCACAGCTCTTCTCCTGTGACAGGCCCGACGGCCGGGCCCCATAACTCCCCTCTCGGCCCCTAATCCGTCACGGCTGCCGGGCGCGGGGCGGCGCGGCCTGCGATCAATCTCCACATTACAGCTGACAGAATGGTGCTAATAACTTATCGATCGTGCTGCCCGCGGTGCCTCCGCCGGAGCGCGCAGACGGCCATCGATTTGCTTTGGAGGAGAAAGAGCGTCTGTTTCCGCTGCCCAGAAGGGATGGGGGGTGGCAGGGAAGAGGGGGCTGAGCCTGTCTCTCAGCGGAGACCCTGAGGAAGGTTAGTGGGGGGCGGGTGGGACACTAGCAACAGCGACAGACTGAAGATAAAAACTAAGAAAACAATAAAAAAAGCATTATTCATGAGGAGGGGGACGGTACCATTCGAACGCTGTACGAAATGACAATGAAAAAGAAATCGTAAAGAGCCAGCTATTTATCTTTGGGAATAAAGTAAGACTACATTTCTGAGAACCTGGGAAATGGGAGAGCTTATCTGTGGTGACTTAAATAGTCTAACTCTGAGAATAATAAACAAAGACAAAAAAAGAGCACAGGTAGGCAAGGTTCGCCCTTGTGAGGAACTTCAAGGTCACTCACTGGGAACGGACAAAATGCCCCTAAGCGGTATGAAAGGGAATTTTAACGGCAACAAACAAAACAGAAAGGAAGAGGTTAACTTAGGAGTCATGCAGACCCATTATCCAATAACGCAGAGCCCCCGCCGCCGCCACCGCCGCCCCCGCCAGTGAAATGGGAGGAGCCGCGTCGATGGGCTGCACTGCGCTGGCGGGAGCCTCCGGTCTGACCGTAAAGCCCCCGCAGCCAGACGACCCGTCAGCGTTCCCAGCCAATCAGCTGTCGCCTTGGGGACGGCGGCCGCCTCGGCTCTCTGCCGCTGACGCCTGGCCTGTCTCCCCTGTCTGCCCCCTGCAATGTAATTAACATCCACCCCCTCCTCCCACACGGAGGGAACATCTTTCACTCTGACTCGGCTGGCCTCTGGCACTGTCCCCCCCCCCCCTGCCTGCAGTGCCTTTGCCTAGATCCCTCAGTCTCTCCCATTCACCGCACAGACTGCAGCGTTAGTCACCCCTCCAGAAATCTGCAGCATTTCCTGTGCCCGGTAATAAAAATATTTCTTACTTATCGGACTAACAAAGCTCTTTGGAGACTGATTCATAAATGTGGA